CCCCCCGGTGGTAACGGGTTCGCGGACAAGGAAATATTTTTTTTTTCCCGTTACCGTAGCGTATAGTATCTTTCCGGCTAGACCTATCTATATACACACACGCACAGCTGTAACAAATGGCGCAAATATTATAGCTAGATGCGTGACACAGATTGCTTTGTTACCGTTTCATTGAACGGAATTAATCGATCGATTTACCATCGTCGAGCGTCGTTACCGAAGAGGAGGACGTCTACTGCGATACGAATAAATCTAGCACGATGCGTAGAATAGGAGGAAAGGCGTTCAATTTTTTCATATTACATACGGTAGGGTGGATCGGTGAGATGAGAAGGATGCGAAAGGGATGAGTCCGGAAGAATGATAGTTACAGGGGAAAAAAATTATTTTCCTGAAAATTGCAACGTCGGGTGAATTCGTGGCCCCGGAACAGAACGGGAGTTTTTCCTCTGGCCGCGTGAACCGTGAAACGATGAATAGAGAAGCTCGCGCGCGCGATTTCCATAATTTCAATAACGCGCAACTTTCTCGCGGACTTAATATACCGTAAAAATAATTACTGCCGCGGAAATGAAATCAGGAGCGATCACGTCGCGGATGTTGGGAAGAAAACGTGCGATATCGTTGACGGTGGAGTAGAGAAGGAAGGAAGGACGGAAGGAAGGAAAAGGGGTGCATTCATCGTCTCGCGAGCGTACGAATAGCGAGAAAGAGATCCTGGCGCCGTCGTAAGGGAGGGAAACACGGCGTCCCAGCGTCACGAGTCCAACTCGAAGTTTCGTAGCTTCGTACCCAGGCGATACATTGTTTTCGACGGCGTATACGTATACCTGCAGGAATACGCCGCTTCATTTTTCTCTCCCTCTCCTACCCCTGGTTCTCGTGTCTGCACAAGTGTATTTTCTCTTATATCCCTGTATCCAGAGGCGGCTTAGCCCCTTCTCTCCTCTCTCTCTCGCTCTCTGGACGCATTTGTCGGCCCTCGAGTAGGTGTTATTGTGTTACACGGGATACGACAGCTTTTGGAGATGCCTCTGTTCCGCGTACACGCGAGTCCTGGGCAAACGTGATTATTTTTCGCAATTTGCTAAGCAGATGCCCCCATTGTGCACAGCTCTGCCGTGGCAGGAGTTCGTTTTCACCCCTCCTGCATTCCCGCCTCCGTTCCCTTCTCCACCTCTTCTTTTTTTTTATTCTCTCCTTTTCCTCTGACCTCCTCTGCTCACCACCCTCCTCATCGGGAACCCTCGCATCTCGCGTCGCCGTGTCGACCGTGCGACAGGACTTTTCTCTTTTCACCTGTGTACACGTCGCTCGCGTGCACGCGTTTTATTTGCGAATACACACGAGCCTCGCGACTTTCCTTCTCCCCCAACCCCCTTCTCTCTCTCTCTCTCTCTTCCACCCCTCCTCTTTCTAGGCGTTGATACGTACACACACATAAACACGCGGAAAACGCGCGAATCCACGCACGCCGGGGGCTGCATATTTTAACCAACTTGCCTACGCGTATTGTCTTCCCACGCCATACGTCCTCCCTGTCTCTCTATACGTATGAGAAATAATGATCGTGCCCAACATCCTGCTTCTCCTCCGTCCTATTCTCTCGTGAAAGAGGGGGCAAAGCATCCGTGACAACAATGTTGCGACTACGCTCGAGAGATTGCGCGAACCGTGTCTTTTTCTTCTCTCGATTGTGTGTACCACCACCCCCCTCGTCCCACCGCCGATACGTGGGTAACAGAAGGGTGAGACACGCGAGAAGAGATCGCTGCGAGGCTTCTTTCCAACGGGGTATCCTGTTTCTGTTTACCGCCGAAACCGTTCTGTTGTTGAATCATCGAAGGGGTAGAGATTCGTTTCTCCTTTCTTCCTTTTCTTTTTTCCGCCCAAGTCAGACCGGAGTGTTCGAAACAACTGAAAGGAGGCGGTGGTGGAACGAGATGGGGTCGAGGGTGTGCAGATCGGTGATTAAAAACGATAATTTTCGAGACGGGGCAACGTTTTATGGAAAGTCGATATCGGATAATTTTCCGACCCGTCTGCGCGGATTATTTCCGTGTTTCTTTCGGTACATTGTGATATCCTCTTTGTGCCGCGGTAGATTTGGAAGAACAATAGAGAAAGTTGAAGTTTAAACGGACGGCGTGAAAAGATTCGAATCTGAACGTCGAAATTTCCTTTTTTCTTGCGCTCATCCCCTTCCTCTCTGCGTCTTGGTTGGTCGACGCGCATTCGGCGTGTCTCGTTGAAGCGGAGAGTTGATTCGAAGACGTCCGAGAAGAGAATTCGCATTGATTGGCCCGCATAATTGAATCGCATTCAAGCTTAATGAGCTCATTGTGCGCGCGCGGTGCACAGTTCATCGAAGCGTGTCGGAGGTATCGCGCGGCGAGGAGGCCGTCGACGATTCGATTGACAGTTGAATTGCCGTTATCAAGAGCCGATATTCCGATTGTTCCAACAACGGGGAACGAAGGTCTCCGGCTGGATCGGACACACCTGTTTGCATCTTCCGCTGCAGCGTGATTTATGCGCGCGTCGCGTCGATTGAATTATTCGTCACTGTGACGACACAAAGGCAATCTAAGAGAGTCGCTATTACGTTGTAAATCACTGTTAGAACGATCATGGATTTTACCTTTTTTTTTCTTTTCTCTTTTCTTCCACCGACTATACCTATCGTGGAGTTGATATAGTCACGGAAAATTGAGAAGGTTTACAAGGGATGCAAGGTGTTTAGATAATGAAAAGGAATGATTAAGAAGGGTACACGTATATAGGAAGGGAACCTCGCAGCACGTGTTCGAAGAAATTAAATCGACGGTGAATTAAATATCCTGTCTACGGACAAAGAGGAAGTCCCCTTCCTTTCGTTACCGTGACACTAATTCGAACAATAGAATTCGTCTCGTTACACTTTAAACTTCATCGCTGTACTCTCGATTCCCGGGGCTGCTCTTTCGAAATCAAAGTTCTCGGTGGTGCATCGCTACGTCTTCCGCCTTCTTAACGATACGCGGCGCAAAATCCCCGAGAAAGTTCACGAAGCCACGGCACTTCTTCCGGCAGAGTAGTCCGGCTTGCGGAACCGACGAATTTCGAAGAATGGATCCCACAAGAGGGCACACAAGTATCCGTCACGCCGCTTGCCTCCTGAAGGAGTTGCCTTTTTTTTTTCGACTCATCTTCAGAGCCCCTTTCCGGTACCAAGCGCGTTTCCTCTTCGCGATACATTATGTTTCCCAGAACGCATCCACGACTTTTTCTGCAACTGAAGCGAGGAAGGGGCTCCGGAAGTGCGCAACGCGCAACTCGAACCCCTTTCTTGCTCGTCTTCTCCTCTCGAGGATCTTTTGAAGCTTCGGATCACGCTCGAAGAGGTTCGCGAGTACCTTCGAACGAGTCCCTTCCTCCGATACGTTCCTCTCGTTCGAACCACGAGTCTGAAATCACTACTTCCCTCCCGTCCCTAATATACCCTTGTGAAAAATACCATCGATTCGTTTTATTCGCCTTACTACGTGCCTCGTAGTAACGTAGACTTTTCCACCCGTACCTACCACGTCGTGTAATTTTCCCCTCGATCGCTATAAAAGACAGCCTCTCGTCGAGAGGAGTAAGTACGTGTCGCGGCGGGAATATCGCGAAAAAAAAAAAGGAGAAAAGAAAACAAAACGGAAGTAAAATTAGGAGGGTGGAGACGTTACATCGACTGGAGGGAAAATCGTGGGAAACGTGGAGAATGGACACGGTGGAGGTGGAGGAGCGTGGAGGCAAGGATCGCGGGCGTCACTTTGGTGGCAGCCAGAGTTACTCTGAAAGCGCTCATTGAAATGGCTCGCGCAGTCTGACGTGTACACGCGGATCATTAATTGAAATTCCGTTACGCAAATGCTACGCGCACGTACGCGCTTCGTATGCTGCGTGTTTGACAGCAGCAAAGCGAAGGAGAGAGAGAGAGAGAGAGAGGAGAGCATCTCGGGGATACGCTCGAGTACCAGCTACCAGACTAGATTCTATCGTTTTTATCGAGGTAAATTAGCAGGGGCATGCGCTTAATTAGGAACACACGCTCTCGCCTAGGCATCGCGTTTCGCTTAACGCGAACGACTGCTTTTCCTGTGCGTGTGTGTACAAAGCAGAGAGTGGCAAAAATAATTGGACAGGCCACATTGTTGCATGCAGCCGGATAGAAATAACGAAGAGAAGGGGGGATAACGGAGAATTAATGATACGCTTAAATAAAGCGGCGATTACGAAAGTGGCGATACGGTGTATTGTGTGCTCGCGATGCAAAAAAGAGCGAAGAGGGAGGGAGAAAAAGGAAAAGAAAGTTGCGTGGTAAAACGCGTTATTTCGCTGTGCAATTATCGGTAGAGGTTGTTCGAGGAAATAATTAAAAACGTTTAAAGGTGGAATAGCATTTGGCGAGCGCACGTGGCAAACAAATCCCCTTCCTCTCTCTCTAAACCCGTAGAGATTTTTATTTTTGTCTCGTTCCATCGTGATTTCTCCATCTCGTTTCCACCACTCCTCTTCTCTCTGTACTCAGCACACGCTGTGCTCGCGACTTTCGGGATCGCTCTTTCGAAGTTCACCGGCAATCCCTGTGATGTCTGCCTGTCCTTGCGAGTACAAGAGAAAATGGCACTTTTGTGTCCCGGTTACTAATGCGTCTCGTAATAATTTCGTTTTTTTTGTCGACTGCCTTTTACGTGACTCGTTTCTCCTCGTCGCAATTTCTAGATCGTCCCGTTTCCTTCTCTCTCTCTCTCTCTCTCTCTCTCGCGGATAGAACCTTGTGTGCAGTTGGAACAGAGAAACAGAGAGAGAGAGAGAGAGAGAGAAGAAGGAAGGGACAGAGAAACGAGTGGTACACGTGGAAATCAGTCGACATGGAGGAAAGAGGTAAAACAAGTGGAGAAGAAGAATATGAGAAGTTTTATCTCCAGAGTTCTGACAACAGCGAACGTTTTTGGATTATTTGCAGAAACGACATGGAAGTACGGACAGAGAGACCTCGAACGGCTGGCCGGATAGCACCGACCGGACGCGTTACTCCGACCATACATCAAACAGGTGGAGGAAGAAGAAAAGCGATACCAGTGCCGCCACCGAGGGTGCCTACCCCTATGCCCCCCGCCAACAATAATCAACAAAAGTAAGTAAATTATGTTTGCCCGATAATCCGTTTTCCCCTCGTTCGTTCGATGCAAAAATATGTGTATATATCACACCCTCGGTGAAACGGCAAACTACAACCTACCCCCGTTCTATAACCAACGATAAAACTAAGATAAGAGTGACGTTTCGCTTGTAATAACTCTTCCACCGTTGAAATATCTCAACTGTATATACTATACGGAGTATGATTGCACCGTTTCTATCGTAGCTCTAACCAAACTCGTATCGGTTTCTCCACCGAAACGTTTTCCACTCGTCGCATCGATAGAACGACGTGACGTTCGAGATTCGAAGTCGCGTAGTACAAGGGGACAGATGGGTGGACGTGATTAAGTAAGTGGGATTAGACGCGCGCGAACTTCGGTCTCGACTGATCAAACTTTACCCAGGCTATACCGGTTACTCTCTCTTCAATTTCAAGATGTTCCCCCTTTCTAGTTGTATATACGGTATTTCGTGTAGTTTCGACTGCCTGGTAACGGCGTGTCTGATTCAATTACATTAGGCGTCCGATTGTGAAAGCGTGTTAGCACGTCTTTTTTTCAATTTCACAGACATTCCGAACTTTCAGGCACAACACGTAGCCAACCTAGCAATGCTACCTTTTCAAGATCTCTGCAATACACGTTCTTAACGTAAGAACGAATCGAAGTCGAGCGAGAGATACTTTTCTAGCCCCCGTTCTCGCAAACTGACGCACTAGCTCATCCCTTTAAACTGATAAAGCGCACCTACAACTTTATCTTTTGGCTTAGGGGATTTCGCGCAGGCTTGAGGGTATATCGGGCAACCAGTCGGCTAGGATAGGCTCCATTAACCCAGGGTGTGTAGCAGGGAAATAGAGGGAGTTTGGCCCGTCTGATTAAAGTTCACGAAACACGGGAGAGACCACCGGCCACTTTACTGATCTCTTCGACCAATCTACTTCGACCACACGTTCGATTCAACTAGCACGTGGATTCGAAAGGCTCTTCACCGCATCTACTATGCCATAGCATTAGCTACGGAATACGTAAACCTCTATCGTTCTCGTTTCTGCGTCACACTCCTCGCCAGTTCCACCGTTCTGCCTCGCGTGAGATTAGCATGTTCGATTGCAACTTGCTCACCATCGTCTTAATCGTTTTAATTGTCCGTTCTTTTTTTTTTTTGGCTCTCTTAGAAGGCTGGTTTTAAAGGAACGTCCAGGTTTCAGAGTGGACGATAGCGATATTCTGTTAGTTGGAGAACTGGCTCGGTCCAGTCAGACTCGTTATTCCACGACACAAGTGACGTCGCGGTCCGCGATAGAGTCGTAAAATGTACAGCACATGCCGCGGATCCCACTTGCACGCGGGCAACTTGCGTCTCTTAGAGAATTCGAACCACGTAGAAGACTTAACGGAGCAACGTATATATCCGCCGGGCGAATTCATTTCCCAGACGTCCCATATCCCGCGACGAGATGCGTTTTCGGCGCGTCCAAGTTCGAACTGTCTCCGCGTAAAGCGGCTTTCTGTCTTGGTTCTACGCTCGTTTAAATATCCCATCAAGGAGCATCGCGCAAAATTGTCCACGTCGTTTGCTCCGGCAAGTATGTATCAGGAAATTTGCGAAACGTTGGAGTGCTTGGTATAAATCGTTGCTTTCTCCTCCGTTCGTTGTTCCTCCCACGTCCTGATGATTTTAAACGGGGAATATTTTAATGAACTTTTCATCGTTGCATATGAAAAGAATTTTCCCTTTATCGTTTGCTCTCGGTATCGTTTTGAGAGTAAAGTGTCTTTTGTCGGGAGTATTCTACAGATCCCCAGTATTGCGCGACGTGAATCTCTATTATAATTCCGTGCCGCATGACATACAATCGGTGCATACGTTTCTCAACTAAATCGCGATATTATTCAACCCGCCATTTATAATCTCGGACAAACTTTTTCACAATTATACACCGGTGCAGTTTACGTGAAATAAAGAATGACCGATTCTGCACAGTTCTTGAGCGCGCGGTTCTCCGCGAGCTAGAAATTATACGAGACTACGGGGCTAGAGCAGAAAATAAAATTCAGTGATTCGGTATTCTCGTATCGTGCGCGTTGGCGATCGATGGTCGGCTGGTTGTTCAAATTTTTAACGAGTCTCGCAGCACCGCGAAATTAATTACTTAACAGCCAGAGCTTTTTTCCCAACGTTCGTTGGAAATGAAACCTCCGGCTCTCGCTCTCTCTCTCCCCATTTCAGCTGGGTTCATTCTCCTCTAGTTCTCCGGCGAGAAACGTACACATCGACAGTGCTTTTATGTGTATATATGTATGCACAGGGTGGTATGTACGAATACATCATTAATACGCGATAAGTGTCGCTACTTGTCGAACGCTGTCAATGACTTTTTCCCCATCCCGTCTCCCTTCAACGATTCTTCTGGCGCCAGTGACAACCTGAGACCGATACACGACGTAACAAGCACGCTGTGTGTTTTTTTCAAACCAGCTAGATGCAATTTTCTCAGTCTTTCATTCCTTTCGCCTTGCACGATTTTTATAACAAGAGAAGTAAGTGTTATTCCTTCTTTTAATTGAACCGCCAAGCAAGGTTTTCCACGTAGAAAAATTTCAACGGTGCGCGGCTAAAGAGTTAGATTGCCAGACGCGGATGATCCTCAATGTCGCGAGCAAAGTGTTAACCAACGAGGAACCATCTTCTTTCATCCCCCATCTTCCCCTCTATGACTCTTTTAGTCTGATAACGTAACCGCTAAGACTATTATTTAACCAACCACGGTACCATTTCCTCCCATACCCGCGAATTTAATCAACGTCGGACTTGTAAAAAGTTTGCCCGGAGAGAAAGAAACTCGTACCGTCCTCGTACGAATATTCGACGAGCGGTCTCTGCGTAAGACGAAAGTAGGATGGCTCGCGTGTCTGTGGACGAGAATGGGAAGGAAAGGAGGAGGGTAGAGGAGATTAGAGATCTACAACTTATCTCGAAAAGTGGTTTCCGTCATGGTGTACAAGTGGTCGTAAGCGGCTTAAAGGCGCATCCATGTGATTCTGGTGCGTGTCTCGCGCGACTTGTAATACGCGGATGAATCTGCATTCTATTAATTAGAGATTCGAGTCCCCGGTATGTATGTACGGTTGGTCTGCGAGCAAGCAAGCGTCACTTGAAAATTTTACTTAAAAAGAGGAAAAGAAAGAAAGAGGATTCGTTTTGCAAACGGTGACGTACATCGACTGATGCCGGACCCGTTTTATGTGCCATTTACCGCGCAAGTGCACGCGGTAGACAGCCAGGCTACGTTGTAGTAGCGAAACGTAGAGCTGGTTACCGAAGGGGAGAGTAGTAAATGGGTGAAAAAACTCGCCAACTCGCTGGATTAAGATCGTTTTAATTTCATTGGTTCGGGCTAATTACCTCTCTCGACGATCAGCCACCTACCGAATTTCCGCGGTTTTCGGTTTCACGCGTCTGCGTGCAACGTGATCTCATCTCTACCGCTCTTTTCCTTCCTATTACTATCGGTTTTCCAATTCCTCGCTTCTTTTCACTCCACCGCAGGTAGTCTGATCAGGCACCAACACGAGAAACGAACGTGTGTGTATACCGTAGGTTTGAAAGAGAGAGAGAGCGTTGGTTTGCACGTTTGGGGGAAAATTGAAAAACCGAACGATGAACCAGGCAAATGACGGAAAGTTTGAAGCGTAATGTCCGTGGGAAAACGAGCCAATTATCCAAAATGTCCACGACCATGCGAATTTTTTCCCTGTGGATTCTAATTAATTAGCATAGGACGGACCGGTGCCGATCCCTCGGTCGAACGGTCGTGCCCTGAACAGGCCAGAGGTTCATTAGATCCTTCAGTACCAGTTGAAATTCTGTCGACCACAAGGCAAATAGTTGGCCGCCGCTTTATGCGAGCCCGAAGAGCAGCTTTGTATCAAAGAGAGCTACCCGTATGTATTCATTAGACGGTATTTAGCATAGTTCCAATGAACGGTGCAGGTTTCGCCTCTGACTGAAGCGCGCGAGCACCGAGAGACGCGCGGAAGATCGTCAATGCAGAATCGCGGAATCGTGACGGTTCGTTCATGTATAATATGCCTTCTGGGTGAGAATCGTGGATCGAACGAACGTGTTGCTCTTATCGTAGTCAAAGAGGCACTTGATACTTTGGTGGTTTTAGCCTGTTGCTGATCAGTTTGGCTTCGTTACGATGAAATTTTAAAGTGAATTTTCAATACTTTCCTATTTGAAAGGAATGCAATTTTAGCGTGATTTTACTCAGATAAGGTCTCTTCGTAACTTGTCACAGAATTACACGAGCAGCAACCAAATGTAGATTACAAAAAGACGTAGCCTGACTAAAGTGTTAATTACGCCGCTCCTCTTGCTCGTTATAAGGCTAACGTAATTACTTTGAATCGCCACTGGTCTTAACAGGAACAACTGATAAGTCTCATTACTCCCACTTGGATAATACATTTTTCACGATCCACATTCTCCGCTAAACAAGTATCCTCCTGTTCGAAAAAAACAAAGCAAAAAATAAGAAGAAAATTAGAGGTTCTCCAGGATCCTCGATTAAACCCTGATCTTCGTTGCGATCGACAACCAGTCAGCTCTCCAATTAACGAATATCGATAACAGCGATTTCCTATTAACCCAGGGGAAGGCTGGATCGAAGGTGGAGAGTGGAAGACAAAGATGATCGATGATCGTTTGGAAGTTGGGACCGGTGTAATCGTAGAGAAAACTGTCCAACTGCTGGCGCAAAGTGTTTCTAGGGTATGGCTTTTGACGACTGGTCGCAGATGGGGAGGAGCATTCTGGTCTGATCGTTTCGATCAGACTGGAAAAAGTTTGTCAACCGGCTCGTTAATGAAGCGATAGACGGAGGCAACCTTTATTAGTATTTACTGTGACAAACGGAACGGAACCTAAACTGACTCTTTCGATGGCGGAACGCCGTGGACCGTGTTCTACTCCTCTTCCGTCAAA